CTCTCTCTCTCTCTCTCTCTCTCTCTCTCTCTCTCTCTCTCTCTCTTTTCATCCTTACCAGAGTTTGCTACGGACAAAACATCTACGGTTTTCGTTGCCTTCGTTGTACTCATCCTCCCAGTGTCGGCTTTAGGAAACGTACGGACCACGATTTTAGGTAACGTGTATGGGCCACCACAGGAGCGCCCAAATTCATCCCACTAGAAACGTTTCTACTCTTTTTTTTTCCCGGCCTATAGCTGGGCCAAGTACTGGTGGTCTAACCTGAAAAGAACGTACATACATTCCATTCAGCTTACCTCTGAAAAAGTGATTTCCAGAAAGTGCTGATTTTTTTCCCAAATAGAACGTATGGTAGAATGTATTAAAATATTGTTTCAAATTTTTCGCTATTATGAAATTTCGATTTTTTATTAAAAAATCTGAAAAAAACACAAATTGTACAGTATACAAACAGCTTTTGCCTGATGGTCATGTCCAACCTAATTCCAAATGTCCGAACATGTTCGGGTGTTCGGCGGAACGCCACCCCAACGTGTTTGGCCGAACATATTAAACCACCAGTACCTCCGCCAGTGTTAAGAAATTACGATGTCTTGGCCAATGCCCGAACTTTTCGGGGTGGGACACAGGGTCGGCAATGTCCCATAAATCTGAACTTTATAGTGACGAAAAAAGGGGGGGGGGGAAATGCTTTCTCTATTGTAATGATGACGGGCTGGGTAGTCCAGGCGGCCGTGCTCACAATCTTCCTCCACAGAATGCACCTTACAGGTAAGGCGGTCACATTCTGAATATTACTGTTTTCTTTTTTTTCTTGGTCGTGTGTTTCTTATGAGTCCCGTATCCGGGAATTGCTCAAGCTGTCCGTGATCTGCTCAAGCTGTGTTTTGTCAAAGGATTGCTCAAGCTGTGTTTTGTCAGAGGATTGTAACGCTCATCACACAGACACTTAGGGAAATGTATCCAGCCATTTTCACGGCCGGATCCATGTGGCCGTTTTTTTCCTCTTTTACTCTCTTTTTGGAATCTGACAACCTGGCCACCGGGCTGAGATGCCCTTATTGAGGGCACACTTACACTACCACTTCCAAGAATGTATACAACTGCAATCACGGCCAAACCTTTGTTTCCTTTTTTTTTTTTTTTTTTTTTTGTGAGGTTCACCTGTGTTGCCGCGCGTTCGTTGAACGCGGGTTCCGCATTCAGTTTTTGGATGCGTTGAACGCGCGTTCAAAGAACGCGAGTGCACGCTCTGAAAGCGAACGCGCAGAGCACCACCCACGCCCGGGAGGACCATCGGGGGCGCTGGGGAGTGGCGGCGGTGCTTGGGGGGGCTGTGGGCAGTGTGGGGAGTGGCGGCGGTCTATGTAAAACCCCGTACGAATACGGGCCACACGTGCGTACGTATGGCCGTACGTACGGGCTCATGTGGTAGTACGGGCCGTACGTACGGAATGTGGTAAGTAGAGGCCCTTAGGGCCACTGCACGTATTCCTAAGAAAAGAAAAATGAGAAAAAATTCTCATTTTTCTTTTTTCTTGTTTTTCTTTTTTCTCATTTTTCTTTTTTCTCGTTTTTCTTTTCTTAGGAATATGTGCAGTGGCCCTAAGGGCCTCTACTCACCACATCCACAAAAGACAAAACATATGGCGGCGTATTATTCCATGTTCTGCAGAAGATTCATTCTAGTTTTGCACATTTGGTGAGTAGTGCAGCCAAGCCTTGACAGTCACGTGCATAGACCAACACGGCCTAGCTACGTGAGCAACCCATAACTGCTGAAACACATACCTGAATTCGAATCTTGAGTATATATTCGGCCAGCTCGTGCTCTACTTCATATTCACTGCCTGCCTTGATTTTGGTGGGGGCGTCTGCGCTACATGGCTGCGAGGACCCTTCAGATAGCCTGCATGGGCCGTTTGAGCCGTGAAAGGGGGATTCCCCCACACACCCCCCCGAAAAAAAACAAGGATCATTCACATATGGTTGGGGGTGACGCGGTAGGGGGGGTGGGCCTCCAGCGGGGGGTGGGGGGGGTTGCACTTTCAGGGTTTGTTGAACGAGGCCCACCACCCCATAGTCCGCAATGCTCGCGCGCGCCCCTTGGGGTCACGTTCACTTTTTTCGCGCGACGTGGCACGCAACGCGTTTGAACGCGATTGAACGCGGCCCCGGGGGGTATGAACGCGCGCGTTTGAACGTGAACGCGCGTTCAGCACGTTCACCCGGTCACATAGAGGTTCACAACCGCAACTTTTCTTTTTCTTTTTTGTTTGTTTTTGTTCTTTCTCTGAGAGTATCATAAAGAAAATGAAGTGGTACCCAGGCTCGGCAAAACTCGGAGCACAGTGAAACTCTGGGTCGGCAAAAACAGGCTCGGAGGTACTGGTGGTTAAAAATATATATATATATATATATATATATATATATACCTCCTGGGCAAATGTTGTTTGTATTATTATTTTACATAACATATATTGTTTTCAGATTTTTCCAAAAACTTTTTTTGTTTTTTTTAATGTTCGCGTTCGGAGAGTTTCGGCGCTCATTCGCGTTTGGTCTCGAACGTTCGGGTTATCGTCAAACAGGACTGCCCGGTAAACCGTAGGCAGAGAGGGAGAAGAGGGCAACAAATCAGCGGCTGTTTATATATATATATATATATATATATATATACAGGGTGACGATATATATATATATATATATATATATATATATATATATACAGGGTTACCTGACCGAACTTCGGCGGCCCCCGGACTGGCCCCCGAACGTTCGGGCGTTTGGGGTCCCGTTCGGGGGCCGAACACTTCCAGGTTCGGCCCCCGCCAAAAAAAAAATTCAGGGCCTAAAAATAAGTTTTTTTTGTGAGTTCTCTATGATGTAACCTAACGCCTGAATGTTCAGGGGTCAGCTAAGGGGCATCCATACGTTCGGCCTGACAACCCTGTATATATATATATATATATATACAGGGTAACTATCGTTCATGACGGGCCAAACGCCGGAACCGGAACACCCGAACGTATGGGACCCCTTGGGGATGCGTTCGGCCCGAACCCCCCCCCCCCAAAAAAAAAAATACAAGTCATCAAAAAAATCGGAAAAAAAGATATGTTATGTAAAACAACAAATTTAACAAGATTTGCCTGAGCGTCACATCCGAATTCCTTACCAAATTTGAAATAAAAATAAAATACGGAAAACAAATACTAGTAATTAAAATAAATAAAAATAAAAAGAGAATTAAATTTAGTGAGTGTGCGAGCATGTTTTCGACACTGCAATCTTTGGCGATTTTTCATTTTTTTTTGGCATAGCTAAATGCCCTGAAAAATTACAGATGTGTACTTCACATAATACAAAACCCACTTAAAAAGTTTCAAAAAATGATAAAGTTGTTTAGATCCCGAACTAAAGTGAAAACAAAAAGTAAAAGTGCATAATTACAAGGGCGAGCACGTTTTGACACCGGCATCTTTGGAGATTTTTAATTCTTATTTGGCTTAGTCAAATGAATTAAAAATTTACAGGCATGTACCTCACATCGTAGAGAACGCACAAAAAAAAATTCAGGAAAACATAATTATTAATAGGCTCCGAAATAATTTTTGGCGGGGGACGAACGCCGTCGGGTTCGAACCCCGTACGAGACCCCGAACGACCGTACGTACGGAGGTCCGCACGGGGACCTCCGTAGGTACGGGCTGGTGACCCTGTATATATATATATATATATATATATATCGTCAAATAAAATATATATATATATATATTGAGTTGCAGCACGAAGGCGAAAAAAAATCAAAACGACAAAAGAAAAAGAAAAGCAAAAGAAAAAGAAGTCAGGAAAGAAAGCCCCACCTGTTCATCACCTCCTTCCCACAAGACCAGCCACGTGGATGAGAGGTTGAGCGCTGGCTGCCCCCATCCCTGTGTGTCACAAGGACCAACTTGCATGCAGCCAAAAGGCAATGAGGTTCAAAAGTTGAGGAGGAAAGAGGAAACTAGACCTCACAGAAGCATGAGAAAGAGGAAGGTCAGAGAAGAGACAAAGGAAGAAAGTAACTTATACATCCCACAGATCAACCAATTGCCATTGTCACCACCAGGTCCAACATCTTATTTTCTTTTTTTTGTTGTTGTCTTTATTTCTTGTCTCCATGAATTGAACGGCTTGTTTTTTTTTTTTTTTTTTATCTCTTTCTGTTATCTCTCGTATAATGACCTAAGCTCCCCATCACTTGATTGTAATGGGTAGTTAGGAATGGGAGCCCCGCCCCGACAGACAATATATATATATATATATATATATATATATATATATATATATATATCGTCACAAACAGATATATATATATATATAGACCTCTCTTTGTTTCGTGGGTGTTTTGCTTGCTTGTGATGGGGTGTGAACCAACAGTCTGTAGAGTTTTCTATCTGGTGTGGGTGAGTGATAGTCTGCTTTGACTTTTGCCACAGGTACCTTGAGGGCAGTGGTTTGTGCCCACCTCAGGGCATGAGTCTTCGGGCAGTCGTTGATGCAGAACCACAGTCGGGGTTAAGGTGGATTATCAATTACAGTGTAATCAATTAGGGGATTCTGCAGACTGTTGACGGTTCAGCCTCCTTATGAGTAAGTGAAAGTCTGACGAAACAGTTTGCCACAGCCCCTCGTTTGTTGTCGTCTTCTCCCTCTCTGCCGACGGTTTATCGAGCAGCTTTATTTGACTATATATATATATATATATATATATATATATATATATATATATATATATGTACTTCGTTGCCACTTGTACGCACCCTCGTACGAGTACGGGTTTGTACTCTTGTACTTTTTTTTTTTTAATCCTGTATTGTTTTAATTTTTTTTCCTCAAATTCTATCGAGAATCTGAAGATGATGTTCAGCCAAAGGTTTCTTGTTTTGTTTTGTTGCATCACATATGTTTTTTTCGGATTTTGTTTATGACGT